GAATCACTGCTGGTGTTTGGTGAGAGGGTTTATATATGCACAACATCAGCACTTTCAGCTGGGAATTGCCAGGCCAAGTAATAAATTAGAAACTTGCCCATTACTAAGGTAATGCTTAACGAGGTGGGTTGATGTGCACACAACGAGCCAATGTCTGTAACTCATTAGGACATGTCAGCCCCTGCTTTAGCAATACATGGACATCAACCATTGGATAATGTGTTCATAGAGCTCATTCATTTAGGAAGGTCTCTATCCTGGTGCATTAACCTAAATCAGTCAGTTGTTATTCTTCTGTAAATGCAATTTGAGGTTTAAAATACAAAAAGTACAAGTTTAAGTGGATAAGTTGTTAACGGGATTTAAGGAGGATTAAAAGGCAGAGGTGCTCACTCCTATTCACTGCATTATGCTCCCTAAAAAAGTTTCAACTCTTGTCTAGCCTCTCATAAATACCAGTCAAGGTCCAGTGAAATACAGGACCGAGAAAAATCCTGTTCTCCTTGTACAGCAATTACCTCTGCGAGCTCAGGCTGATGTTGCGATGTCTTGTCTGTCTTGTTTTGTGCATGCTGTGTAGCATCTGTTTGTCCTGTGCAGTCATATTTCTGACTAATTTGTTCGTGTCTCTGTATTGGTGTTACAGATGCCCAGTCCATTAATGGTTGATGAATAAGGAAAATATAGGTATACTTGAATAATATGATACTTATATATATTAAAACTATGTTCTGATAAATATTTTAAACTAATGGATAATAGTGTTAAGTGGTAAATGGTGACTGAGTTTACCTAATTGCTGGATCTGTTCCAATCCAGGAGATCACTGTATAGTTTAATGCCTCCAAATCTGTGTCTGAGTTACATAGAATAAAATAGTTTCCTATTTCAGGCTTTTTTTAAAAAAGGCTCTACATTTAAATACAATTTTAGTTTTCTCTCAAGATGCTTTTCCCTTCTGCTTTAATAGCTTTGTAATACTGTTGACTTTTCATTCTAATACCATTAGTCACATATCCAGCATTTCTCTACAGACTCTTCCTTTTAGGTCTTGCAGTTCTCCAATTCTTGTCTTGGCTGTTCTTCTTAGGTATTCTGTCCATGAGATCAGTTTAATGCTGTTGACTCTTTCATCTCACTTTCCATCTTAGGGAAGTAAAGTTTAGTATTTACACAGCCCATTCAAGTACAGTGACAATTGTTTCGTATTTGGAGAATCTATAAAGTGCAAAAGTGAGAAAGAAAGAGATCTTCATCGATGGGATGGACAAGAAGAATTTAATTTTCTGGGACATGCAGCAAGATAAAATGACAGTCTGAAGATTGAGGCAGTTTGAGAAATGACCTCAAGTTTTCTGAAGGAGGCAAAAGCATAGGGGTGGTGACAGCAGTAGGGCAGAAACAAGGATGAGAGATCTTAAAAAGAAGTCAGTGACCATATTAATGCTGAGTCAGTGGATAAATTCAGGATGATTCACATTCCACGTTTGACCTTATGTGCTGATTCAGATCATTAGAAATTGCAGTGCGTGTGTGAAATGCAAGCTGCACACCCAGCACCACTGGCAGGGAACTTCATGGATCGTGCCAGGATGGGGAGAGATCCGGTGTCCTTTCTCTGCCCGGCAGGGAAGTGCCAGGGATTGAGGTGGGCTGGCTGAAGGGCTGAGAGCACGTCATGCCCCTCAGTTGCTGGCACACTAGATAAATTACAAACTGGAGCTTGGGCCTTGTAGCTTTCTTCTTCCCAGTTTTGGAATAGTCAGATGTCTCCCAGCTGGAGAAGGGAAAGCAGGAACGATGGATGCAGTGGGTTGGGGGAGGTAAGAGAGAACACAGTGGTAGGAAGAAGGGTGACTGTGTGGCCCAGGGTTGCTAAAGTCACATTATTACTGTTAGCAGAACTGTTTTGAAAGGAATGAATGGGTCATTAATGTAACTATTTCTGAGTAGGTTGCCAGTTTTGTTTGAGTGCTTAATGTAGACAGGAAGGTTATAGAAATACAGGTAGAAATGTGGAGTCTTAACAATGAAAGTTAGGTCAAGAATTAAGTGCTAGGGAAAGTCTGTCTGGACATTTCTGGAGAAGGTTGGCAGAGAGAGCCTGAAGTATGTACCTGAATAGTTCTTGTAGAAAATTATGAAGAAATCTGAGAGGGTAGTAGTGCAAAAGCCAGAGCCAGGTTTGGGAGCAAGTTGCTGAGTTCAGTGAACAGAAACTCCTGAAGTCTGCAGACACAGCAAGGATGAGGTGGATTATAGACCATGAGCATTGACCAAAGAAAAAATAGGAACATCTTGACGATAACTTTATCTTGAAGTCAGTCCAGAAATTACTTGTATACAAGAGTCATTCCATGGAATTTGAGAGTCTTTGGCTTGCACTGATTTGTTTCTGACCATTCTGACTAGACTGTTCTGGCCACCACTCAGGCCTGGAGTTGAGTATTGTGTTTGACCCATCTTGCTTCTCCTCTTCTCCTCCTTACCTTGTATTCAACCCAAAGTCAAAATCTATTGCTCTGACACCTGCTAGATAGTCTCTTGCTTTATGCAGCTTCTAGAAACAAAGAAATTCTCAAGATGTGGATTTGTGGGTTTTAAAATTTAATATAATAATATATTAATATATTAATATAATCTCTTAGAATTATTCCTGTTTTTCCTGGTTCCCTGTGACATACTCTCTCAAGGATTAATCAAATCAGGTTTTTTGTTCCTGGTGTTAAAGGCATAAGATGATGTGTACTCAAGTCCTTATCCAGTAAATAAACTTATTTTTATAGTAAATTACTGTGCTGGAATGTGTCATCTGTGTCAGGACACTTGTTTCAGCCCTTGGCCTGCAGTAGCTGCTGAGGCAGCTGTTTGACCATGCATCTGGGGGTGCAGAATTCCTGCTCCAATCTGAGCCTGCTTTCCTTCTGCAGTGGCCTCACAGGGTGCTCTGCCGTGTCCAGGGAGCAGGACTGCAGGACATTTTTCCTGGTGCTGAAACAGCCTCTCATTTTAGCACCTCAAATGCAGCCTCACTGCTGCATTTATTTCTCCTGAAGTGCATTTGGAATGTGTGGCTGTGTTGGAGCTCCTAATGTTTGAAGAGCCACCAACAGGTTCTATATAGGTTACACAATTCACAGCCCGGTCATTCTGTAAAGCCTGCATGGTCTAACCACACCCTTCTGCTGACTGCTGGACTGAGACACAGAGCTTGTGATGATATTCTGCATACTCACTGCAGAAAAGAAGGTGGATTTTAAAAATCTGGTGTAACTCTGGGGCAAAGGCATAGGTTTAAAGGGTTCTGACTGGTACTATGTAAATGTGTTACAGAGAGCCTGGAGGTACTGTTGTGTATGCTTCAGTCTGCTGCTCCCTAGAGCATCCTCACCAAAATACAAAATGTCTCTTTGGGGTTCAGTTCTGTGTTTGGGAAGGGGAGAAAGCTGTTTCTCAACGTCTTCCTTTTTGTATTCTCTGTTAGATTTTAAGGTGCCCATGCTCATCTTTGCCTTCAGACTGTTCTAATTGAAATAACTCAAAAACATCCATAGGGAGCTGTCTTTCTTTAGCCAATGTGAAAAATAAGCAGAACTTTAATTTTAACTTACACAAAATCTATTTGTACATGATACTGGTGAACATAATGGTTACTGTCAGTTTATTTAATGTCTTAGAATCTTTCTGCCATAGAATGAATATAAGTTAAGGTAAATGCCTGTGAAACACAAGAGTTGTCTTGCATTTGGACGAAAGATAGTCTGATCACTTATTTGGAAACAGAAATATTTTGTGTTTGATGTAAAACCAGGCTAGGCAGCTGATGGACTTGATTATTTTCAATAACAAGCAAGAATGGCTGTGTGTCAGTGTGATCACACAGCTGTGCTTGGCTTTGGGCTTCTTTGTGTGGCACTGATTATTGGTGTTAGTAATATTTCCTTATATGCATAGTGGGAGAATATTAATAGAAAAGATCCACTTGAAAGTCCTAAGAGAACAGTTTATCTTTTCTAAAGTGGAGTTTGTTGGCAGGACTGAAGCTATTGAACCAGGGAAGACATTAATTCAGTCACAGTATTAAACAAAGTTGTGATTAAATATGAAGATCGAGGTATGTTCTAAGATTCTCTGAAAATGCTACAAGCTTTGTGTTTCTGTCAGTTGAAAACTGAAATGATAATAGCTTTAGATTACATGGGTAGTTTTTACATGGACTTTAAAAGAGGAAAAAAAGGAACGATCTGATTGTGAGAAAGATGGATGATGATAGTACTCCAGTATTCTGTAACTGTTCAGCTGAAAACACTGTATGGTGTTTATGTTTTAGCCTTTCCAAGTAACAACTGATCATTGTGCCAGTGACATGTGATACCTGAAACTCATGGAGACTAAATTAAAGTTCAGTTGGTGTTACATATTTTCATTTTTCAGTTCAATATGTGGTATTTGTTTTGCTTCTTTTTTTCCCCACAGTTCTGTATGTTTTTGTTTAAATATTTTATAATTTCTAGCAGCAAATTTTTGGGAGAATATTGTTTTCATTATTGTGCCTTGAGTATTTTATCTTTCTCCTTTAGCAGGATGGAAATATTTATATTAATCATTGTTTCCAGATACGCTGAAAAATTTTACACTGGTGAAGGGTTTGTGTTTGTTCACAGCTTTGATTTTAATATACAGAGTTAAAAAGTGACTGGTGAGAATGCATGGAAAACTTGACCAAAGTATTCAGAAATGGTCATTCTTGCAATGACTGCCAGATAAAAATGAATGTGTTCTGAGTGTTCCTTGATTTCAGTTTAGCTGTTCTGCAAAACGAATTCACTTTAGTAAAAGTCCACTAAATTTGGTAGCTAATCCAGGGATTAAAGCAGGTTGTGAATACTTACAGGTATTCTGAACAATAATATTAAATACCTTTACTTCCTGTGATACCTAGGTCGTTTTCTTGCTTTCCCTATTCCCATCAGACCAAATGTCTTTGTTTTTCTTCATAGACTGAAATGCTAAGGAAGAAAGTAAAAGAAAAGGAATTATTTATAATACAGCTTTTAGACAAAATCTCTTTCTTAGAATGTGAGGTAAGGCATATTTTAAGTTTGCATGATTGTGATTATTTTATGAAACCAAATTAAATTTGAACCAATGTCATCCAGTGCTATCTGAATGTATAATTACTAAATGTATTTGCTGTTCTTCAAATGGAAATTAAACATATGACACCAGTCATACAGTCAGGAGTGTGTGTAATAAAGTCTCAATATTCACTCTAAGTTTCTTAACTTACAATTTTCTAATGGCTTTATAATGACTTAGACCAGAAGTTTCTGAATAAAACTGTTGGTTTAATTTATATTCTTTCCAGAAAAAAGGATTCCTTTATTTTATTGATACATACTTTTACACTGTTTCTTGTAGGGAGAGGGCAATGTGCAATTTTATTTCCTTGTTTAATTACCATAAATAAAATAAAGTTGTGATGAAAATTATTGTTTCCCAGAATAAAGAATTACAAGACAAACTGGACTACTTAATGGAAAACCAACAAAAGACCAATATAGAGACCAGAGATACTGGTGTAGAATGTGATCTTCCATACAGGTATTTATTTTCTCTGCTTGTTTGTAAGAAAATTCCTCATAATGTCCCTTATCAGTGCTGTATTAGTGACCCTCATTAGTGAACCATTTTGCTACTGAATTGTTTGAGTGGACTTGGAGTTTAAAAGAGCAGTTCACTCCTAGATGCATTTTACATCAGTCATTTATGATTTTTTTCCTTAAAGATGCAAACATACTGCAGACTCGTGGGGAGTAGTTATTGCCAGTAATGCAGTTTAAGTCGAGAAGTCAGAGAGGGGACTGTGAGGTGTGGCGAGTTGTGGTGCAGAGTGGCAGCTGGCAGCGCTGCAGACACGGGACAGCTCTGCCCAAGGCTGCTCAGCGCCCGCTTCGGGCACGCTTCACCTCTGTGCCAGGAGGTGTGACCGCTGGGAGAGCGGGGACACCACAGGGAGGGCAGCAGCACTTCTGGAGATCTCCTGGCCCGAGGTGGAGCATTGCCAGGTCAACAGGGCTGTGACATCTCCGGAATGCTGATGCTGCTCCGTGGTGCCAGGGGCTCTGCAGCCTGGCTTTGGGAAGCCCAGGTGTGGTGCCAGGGGCTCTGCAGCCTGGCTTTGGGAAGCCCGGGTGTGGTGCCAGGGGCTCTGCAGCCTGGCTTTGGAAAGCCCGGGTGTGGTGCCAGGGGCTCTGCAGCCTGGCTTTGGAAAGCCCAGGTGTGGTGCCAGGGGCTCTGCAGCCTGGCTTTGGAAAGCCCAGGTGTGGTGCCAGGGGCTCTGCAGCCTGGCTTTGGAAAGCTTGGCATAGTGCCTCCCCTTCTCCCCTGCTTTCCCTGCCCTGAGCCTGCAGCAGGGCACCTGGGAGCAGGGCTCTGCACTTGCACTTCAGCATTCCCCACAAGGCCCCACAGAGAAGGGCCAAACAGGAAACAAGCCAGTAAAATAGGGATGACCGCTTCACATTACTTTTATTACCAATAAGTAAACTTGTTCATTGCAACCGCTCTGCAAATTGAATTGTTTAGTTTGAAGGAATGTAAATTAGCATATGAAATCAGCAAGCAAACTAAAATTTCCTTCATAATTTAAAAATACACTCATTTTAGAGTTCAGCCTAGAGCATATTTTAATGGTATGTGTTTTGGAACCTTAAATACACTGTTTTTTCACTCAGGTTGTCAACAGAAACCTATCTTTGTTGCCCTCTCTCGGGCCCCTCCATATGTAAGCACAGCCCCTACTTATCTGATATTTTTCCTCTTTTTGAGATTTATCTCCATGAAGAAATGCACCTCTGTGCAGTTTAGATTTCATGAATTACACTTAATGATTAATTGTGTTCTTAAATGCAATACCGCTATCTTTTTTTTTGTAGCAGGACTCTTAATTCTAATAACTTTATTGCTGGGCATTCCACTGTGAGCACCAGCAAATGCTGGCCTGTAAACATATCAGTATCTGCCACGGTTTTTATCAAATACTCTTTGTGGCATTATAGAAAAGAAATATGGAACATACCAAATGCACTGATAAGTTTAATTTTAGCCTGTCAATATCAACACAAGGGTGCAAGTTCATTGCCATGGCATTACAGACCCAGCTGTGCGATACTCTGACCTTAACACTGTGAGCTTTCTCTTGTCTCCTGAACAGCACAAGCTCTGAGAACAGACCTCCTGAGAGTCCGAGGCCGGTGAGGACGTACACCCCATTCAAGAGAGTGCTGGAATTTAGCACAAGGAGCAGTACATCCTGAGAGCTCAGCTCATCCAGCTTCCTAAATACGAGCAGAACTTTGCGCCTTTGCAGCTTGGTTAGATAAGTTTTTATCAGTTTAGAGGAGAGCAGCAGCATGGAGTCTTGCTAAATTTATCCTGAAAGCAGCTCTTTGGTAACTTTATTCCTGAAGTTGCTACTGATGTTAACTGTGAGGGAGTAGGGAAGCAGCAGGCTGAGGGAAGCAGCAGTCAGGCAGTACTGCTTCTTTAGAAGCTGTTTAATGCAATGCATCATTTCAAATGCCTGTAAGGACTTGTATAGCTGTACAGTTGGGTTTTTTTTTTCTTCAGTTGTGTTGTAATTCTGTTTGAGTAATGAAGCTCTAATATATTCTGTTGTCAGTACTACTGGAGCAGCACCTGAAGCTGTGCTGGCAGAGGGAATTTGTGGGGAAGCTCTGAATCTGCCCAGACTGAGGGTGGCTCACACCTGTCCCAGAGACCTGGGGCAGTTGAGGGCTCTCTTCACCTGGAGCAGCTCTTTTGTACCTAGCACTCTTTGTCTGGGAGGGAGAGATGAACTGGGCTGTTTAAAACAGTTCTCTCAACACACGGCAAATGAATATTGTGTTTGTTACTCAAAACAGTAAGGGATAGAGCAGATTATAATGGAATTGGCTTTATTGGACTGAGGCACTGGTTTGCACTTCCTAGTCATGGGACACAGTGACCATGGGTGACACATTCAGTAGCAATTGTGTAGGAAAATCCCTGACAGTTTATTTATTTACTTTTCCATTCAAGGAAGGAGTTTTCATTAAACAAAAGTTTGCCTACTGCAACCTGCAGCAGTCCTTGCAATTCCAACAGCACCAGCAATCCTGAATCAGGATTTGAGGTTTTGAGTACTATTTTTTTTTTAATCCAAACCACTTAAAATCTTATCTTTGGCTTCAAAGTAGCAGCAGGAGTGACTGTATCTAGTACTGAACTAATTTAAATATATATATAGGGTATTATCTACATCTTCTTTTGATCTTCCACTCTTAGTGAATTTAAAATGAAGTAGGAATATATTATTTTAATTATGTTAACATGAATGAAGGACCTTTTTTTTTTTTTTCCTAATTACAGTACCTGCAACAGAAAACAAACAGCTTAGGTTCTGTATGATCAATATTGTTCTTGCATGCAGTGTCAATCCCAGGAGGTGCTCACCTTGCCACAGAGCTTCAGAAAGGGATTGCTTTTATCTCTAGCCTAATACAATTCAGTCCTGCCTATTCAAATCAAGTACACTTACTAAAGTTGTATTTAAAATAATAATGTTGATGTCATATTGAATGCACAAGATGAGTAATAACTGATTTCAGTGATGAGCTTTGTACCTGTGCAATCTTATCTCCATCTAGTGGCTGATAACAGCAAATATTTGGACAGTATCTGTTTTTGAAGAGAAAGACACTAAAACTAATCCCAACAGGTATATTAATGTCCATTAGGGATGCAACTTTAGGTCTTAGAGAATGCATTTTAGCATTTCTGTGCCCAAACTCTGTAATTCAGGACTTGAATTCTGAATCATGGCTTGTGAGAATTACTTTCAAACTCAAGATGAGTGGATGAAGGTGGTAGTTTTAGATAAAAGGAAATGCATGTTGTTGTAACAGACATTAACTGACAAGTTTAAAGAAGTGAAAATCCTTTACCCCTCTGATTTTGGCCAGAAGTCAGAAAACAACCTGATGACTGTGAGGTGCTCAATGAATAGTAGTAGAGGGCAGGGTAAGTATCAAAGTGCTGTTTTGACACAGACTCAAAGGAAGTTCATTCTACTTTTAATATACTCCTGAGGATCTCCTGAAAATGCTGCAAGGTATTTTTAACTCTGAGACTTGCAACATTACGATAATCTGCTCAAGACGTTACGAGGAATGCAGCAAGGCCTTAAGTTTTTACTGTAAAGGTGTTCTGTGTAAATTTTGTCTTTACTGTTTGATGAAATACAGTATTTTTTTCTAAACCAAAAAAGAACTGAAGTCAAAGCTGTATTTTGAGAGCATTTTGACATGCAGTGAGCTGGATGACTATCAATTGATGGGACTACTGATCTAAATTTGGTAACTGTGAAGAACAGGAGAGGAACTGTGTTTATATCATTGTGTTACATGAAAATGTAGAGCTTTCCACTCAAATGAGCAGTAATGTAAATTAGCATAGATAATAACAAACCTGACTGAAAAGACTGTAACATTTCTGTACAAATTTTCTCAATTTGAGACTAAGTTAATTAGTACTATCACATTAGAAACTAGTAAAATTTCTGCAAACAGCAATAAAAGCCATATAGGAAGGTCCCAGAAAGTACACTAAATGCAAGTCAATTGTATGACTGCGTTTGTGCCATGATAAGTATTCTTTTGTGATTTATTCCAGATACTCTGGAAAGTATTTTGGGATACACTTTTCATATATGCTGTACAAATAATGTATTACATTGTACGCTTTTAATACATCCGGTATGTAGGACATGAAAAGGATAAATTGCAATAAACACTGTACTTAAACTTGTTGTTCTGTTGTGTCAACATGAAACATGAACATGAGTCTTTTAGAAATAAACCTACCTTAAAATGTTGCAGACTCTTACTGTTCACAACCTTGTTTGTTCCAAACATGTGGGAATGGAAAGCGGCTCCTGCGGAGCCTCTATGCTCTCCTCGGTGTTTCCTTTGGCACACGGGCTCTTGAGAACAGGAAGGCACTCCCTGGCTAAAGGCTCTCAAAGCCAAGTCACAAAAGTAGATGAACTCTTTCATGAAATAAAAAAACTATTGACTTGCACAGGATAAAGAAAAACTGCGCAGCACAGCTCTTGGAAAAAAGCCCAACAGCTTCAGATCATGCAGATAACATCTGAATCCATCTGGGATGATGCTCTCCAGGCCTCAGCAGGATGAGACTGGGATGGTTGTGGCCCATCTTTATTTACAGTTTATATCCACCTCCTGATAATGGAGATTTATTTTTAAGACTTTAAAAATAAAGCAATCTACGTGTCAACTAAAGAAGAGGTTGTGCAAACACGATAATCACAGTGTCACAGGTTTGTAATGCTCACAGGAAGAATGGCAAGTTTTTAACTCAAATAATGCTTTCCTATTTATGTGTATTCAGCTCAGATTGCCAAGAAGCCCTGATAAAATCTTGTTGAAATGGGCAGTGCTTGGTGCTAAACCTACAGCATGGGATTCTGGCAGCTGGATACAGATGCTTTTCAGAGAGCTTGAAATATTTTACATCTAAAAACTTCTGCATATGGACAGATGAGAAGTAAGTTCTCTGTGCATGAAGTCTACAATTCTGCAGAGGAAATCCCTGCTCCACAGAATGGAAATGTACATGCTGAGAGCTTCATTCCAGCTTCATTCCACTTACATTTTACTTCATTCCTGTTCAGCCCCTGGGGCTATCTGCATATGTAAAAGAAGAAAAGTGCATGGGAAACCTGAGTTAAGGCCCTTCCAGCCCTGCCTCAAGCACAACATGGAAGGAGCACAAGAAAAGGACACAGGAGCCATTTACAGCTCAAGGTATGTGAATGTTTTCAAAAGAAAAAGGGACTTGGTGATTTAAAGAGAAAATACAAAGTGAACATCTGTGAGGTTACAATATTCTGTAAAGGCACGTGGTATGTAGGCAATGCAATGATCTGATGGTTGCTTCCCAGTATGTTTATAGGTAGAAAGACATACAGATTTGCTTTTAAAGTGTTTGGGGCTTTTTCCTTTTTTTTGAGAAATAAGGTTAAAAGGAAGAGTTGATTTTTTTAAGGAAAAGAAAATTTTACAAAGGATTTTAAAGGAAATTTTTATTTTAAGGAAAATCAAATTATTACAAAGGTGCATCATGCTGATAAGAAACGAGGTTTTTTTTCCTAAATGTCTAAATGAAATACAATTTATTCAATTAAATTCCAAATACTCATACCATTTTTTCTTATTTTGGGGGTGATTTACATTGTATGTGTAGTTTCTTCTCCTCCTCCTCAATATTCTGAGCAGAGAAACTGTAAAGGCAGTTCCCACTGCCCCCCCCTCCAAAAAAATCCCTAGTTTCTTTTGTCCTTTTCCAAATGAAAAGAAGTAGCATTTTATAAAGTTGAAGAAAGCAGAAAACAACAACTTTTCTTGTAGAAATAATACTAAATTACTAAATCTGTATTTCCTTCTTCAAGTTTTACCAAAGTTGATGCTGTCTCAGTTGCATAGTATCTAGACACTGCCCACCTTGTTCACAACCAAGAATGTTTTTCTTCCAGCACCTTCCAAATTTCAGCTACTTGTTCATCATTCTGGACTGTGGGTTACCTGTAAACAGAAAATGTTATTCCAAAATTTAACACTCATGAACTGTAAAGATGAACAATATTCCTTCCCAGTGAACTTGGACAAATACAGACTTAGCGAACAGTATTCCAAGTGAGGTACAAAATGATCAGATAGGATTCCCAGGGACTTGGTGATTTAAAGAGAAAATACAAAGTGAACATCTGTGAGGTTACAATATTCTGTAAAGGCACGTGGTATGTAGGCAATGCAATGATCTGATGGTTGCTTCCCAGTATGTTTATAGGTAGAAAGACATACAGATTTGCTTTTAAAGTGTTTGGGGCTTTTTCCTTTTTTTTGAGAAATAAGGTTAAAAGGAAGAGTTGATTTTTTTAAGGAAAAGAAAATTTTACAAAGGATTTTAAAGGAAATTTTTATTTTAAGGAAAATCAAATTATTACAAAGGTGCATCATGCTGATAAGAAACGAGTTTGTTTTTCTTTTTTTCCTAAATGAAATACAATTTATTCAATTAAATTCCAAATACTCATACCATTTTTTCTTGTTATTTTGGGGGTGATTTACATTGTATGTGTAGCTTGTTTCTTCTTCTCCTCTACCTCAATATTCCTGAGCAGAGAAGCCATGTTATTAACACTTTATTCTCTTCATTTTTTGCTCTACTTTTTTCTGTGTTTATGCGGTTTAGCACATAAATTGAATCCACTGTGAATTGCTTTTCTGTACATATCATAGAGCAGCTGAGCATTTTGTGAGAGCAGTGTTCTAATGCGATTGTTCCTTCTAGATTCTCCGTTCCCTGCTGCCAGGAGCGGTTTCCGTGCCGTGTCCCCCCCTCTTTCCTACTGCAGGATCAGGTGTCCCCACTCTCTCCTACTGCAGGATCAGGTGTCCCCCGCTCTTTCCTATTGCAGGATGAAGTGTTCCTTCTGCAAGACGCAGAAATGTGACATGGATGCGGGATTTAAACCTGTGCAACAGAGGCAGCAGTTCAAGGAACTTGTGTCCTGTAACTGCGGGGGATCTCCCGCTGAGAAAAACTCAGGGATTTCCCTGAACCTTAGGCAAAACTCCCCCAGGGCATTTCCCACTGATGATCCAGGTAGTGCGGAACAGACAAAAGATGTCGAAAAATTTAGATAGAATACCACACTGGTCTCCGGGGAGGGGGAAAAGTCAGAGTCTGCTGCAGTGCTGACCCCAAAAATTCCTAAAAGGTGTCGAATTGCTCTCCAACTGAAACGCACAGGCTTTCAGCGCTGCTCCGCCCGTGTCACACGTGCAAAGCAGGGCACAAGCCGCAGTTTCCCTCCCAGCTCTGGGCGCGGTTGTGGTGGGATGAAGGCGGGTCCCCAGCGCCGGGAGAGCGGCCCGCAGCCCGCAGCGCTCCCTCAGCGCCGTCCTTCGCGTTCCGAGCAAGTCGGACCCTGCCGCCGCGCCGTCACTTCCGGCAAGATGGCGGCCCGCGGGGCTGAGGCGGGGGCCCATGGCGGCGGCTCCGGGGCTGCGCGGGCGGGCGCTGCCCGAGCTCCGCGAGATGCTGAGGCGGCAGGAGCGGCTGCTGGCCGACCGGTGAGGGCAGCCGGAGCGCGGGCGCCGAGCAGCGGGCCGGGCTTCCCGCCGACTTCGCCCGTCCCCTTGCAGGCGGCAGAGGACGAAGCGCCCGCTGCCGTTCAGCGCCTGCGGGGCCGGGAGGGCGCGGGTAGCCCCGGGCTGCAGCGGCTGGGGATGCGGGCAGCGCTCAGGCTGTACATGTCCGTGTGGCTCTGCTGCCCGCGGGCACAGGGATGGACTCCTGTCCTGTGAGAGAGGCTGAGAATTGGGATTGTTCAGCCTGGAAAGGGGAAGGCTTTGCGGTAACCCAATTGCGGCCTTCCAGAACCGGAGGGGAGCTTACAGGAACGATGGGCAAAACGATTTGCGGGAGTATGGAAGGAGTTCAAATGAAAGAGAGTAGGTTTAGATTAGATACAGGAGGAAGAAGAGATTCCCGGTGAGGCGCTGGGACAGGAGCCGTGGCTGCCCCGTCCCTGCAGGTGTTCAGGGCTGTGCGGGGCCCTCAGCAGCCTGGCCTGGTGGAAGTGCCCCTGCCCGTGGCACGGGCTGGAACGAGATGATTTCTCAGGTCCCTTCCCACCCAACCCATTTCATGGCTCGTGTGTTTCACTGACAGCACGTAGGTAGTGCTGTGCTGTGAGTGCTTTGCATCTTGCCTTGTTTCAGAAGTTTACTCTGTAAATAAGCTGATGTTGCAATGTGAAAACTGCCCCATTAGCTATTCTAATAAAACTTCTGTATCTCAGGTTGAAATAGCATTGTTTATAATAATTTTTGTTTGTTTGTTTGTTCTAGGAAGTTCATTGCTAGGCTTCCAGATAAGGGTAAGAAGATCTCTGATTTTGCTGAAAAGCTGAAGCTTGCCATTTTCCAAGAAGAAGAAGTAGCCAGGACAGCTGAGCTGTTATCTGCTGTCAGGTTGGAGTTCCAGGCAAAACAAGAGGAGATTAATACAAGCAAACAGGAAGCTGTCCTAACTGAGGACACAGTGGACAGTGCAGATTCCTCGGTCATTAATGAAAACTCTAACATTAAGGACATTTCTGACACTTCTGCTGAAAGGCAGGAGGCAGAATGTGTTGAAGAAGATGCCACAAATACAGCTTTGGAAAATCAAAGTACTCAGAGGAAAAATCATAAAGCAAAGACTGTTGCAAAGGATGTGAATCATTTTTGTGAAGATGTCTCCAAGTCAGCCACAAGCAATCACCTGAACAATGATCAGCAAGTGTCCCAGAGCAGTACTGAGGGTGGGACAGAAAGTACAGCTGCTTTGGACAATAGTAAAGAAGCCTTGGTTGATGCCTTTCAAAGAGTTACAATTGCAGATGGGGAAAACGGTGAAAAAATATTGGAAAAAGAGCAGGATGTGGCAAAACACAAGGGCAATGTATTTGGAAGGCAGCATCCCAAGACACCACATTATATTGAGGTTCTAGAGGCCAGAGCCAAGAATCCAGTCATAAAAAGACCCAAATTTAAAACAAACGCGTGAGTACTGATCTTTTGTGTGTGCATAAAATTGAAAATAGTACAGAACAAGCATAATGGCTTTATTTTCTAGTGATGATTAAAGAGATTTAAAGTCTCATGACACTCAAGGTTCATATGTTGGCTCTGTAGCTTTAAATGCCACAGAATCTCAGTACTGAGCAGGTTCCTTTCTACCCATCTGAAACAATTGTCATGAATCTTCACAGAATTTCAGAGCTTAAGGTGCAAAACTACTCAACAGTTGGTAGAACTTTTGGATCAGTTCTAGAACATGTAGAACTATAATAGCTGGAAGTGTTTTGCTTTTTCTGCACTTTTAGGAAAATTACAGTCTACGTTGTCTGTTCTGGTAGCAGTAACAGTTTGTACCAGTCTGCTAATAAATCAGCAAACCAGTTTGGTTCATTGTCAGGAGCAACTTTT